GAGAGAGAGAGAGAGAGAGGAGTAGAAGTAAAGGATCTAGTTGGAATACAGAGGATCCCAAAATTATCATTATTAGATTGCTTTTCTGCACGAGACCATCAGAAAATGCGTAATTCATAAGACCGGAGGTTACAATGTCAAGTATAAAACATTTCTAAGGCACTGGTAGTAAAATGAAATATGGAGAAAAAGAAATATATTGCAGATTGTCCGGGACTAATTGTACAGTTTTTTATAGTATAGCTTAGCGCTTATTGAGGACTTCAGTCTCTCGATCATTCTTGTGGTAAGTCTGTGACCCTTTAGTTTACATTTTCTCAAATTGGATCCTACATCAAAAGGTTTGTAAACGCTCGGAATAACTCATTCATCTTATAATATCATGATGTATAATATCACATACTTCATTTGGAAGGACTAAGCAATATCAGAAATTCTCTTGGTGATTTAAAAAAACTACACCTAAAAATATACTAAAAAGAGTCAGGTACAATGCAAATATGAAATCCTGCTCTGAAATGAGGGATTTGATTTCTGTCCTACTAAGTCAGTTCCATTTTGTATGTATAACACGTGCTCCTCAAAAAATCGATTGGGAATCAGTTTTTTCCTTTGTGTGCTGAAATGATAATTGAACGTATTTAGTCGCATTTTGTGTTAGACTAACGAAATTGATTTTTATTTTAATACATTTTATTTTAGAAAAAAAAAACGTGAGTCTAAACTTATAAATTCGTTTGCATCATTCAAATTTGATAAAGGTTTAAGTGACATAATGATATCTAAATATTGTTATACGTATAATATGCTTGATTGTCGAAAATTTTACCACAGATAAAATCTTGCCTTCTGAATGATAAATTGATAAAGCAATTTTAAATATTTAATGAAGAAAATTTCGTATTCTTCTCTTTTGAAGAAAAGAAATCTTGTCTGAATGAACAAACAACATAAACTATTTCTTCTAAATGAAATACGTTTGTAATAATAATTATTGTACTTTCTAAGCCCTAATTTTATTGTACAGTATTTAGAAATTATAATAATTTTCAATCATTTTTAGACCATATGTTGCCACAGTGTTGCTGTAATTTAATTAATCATACTTGCAAGCAAACAAACAATTCATGGACAGCAGCTGGTCATCGAAAAAAAAGTAAAAATCAGATTTCCCGGAGCAAAATATTACGTCCGGGAACAGATACTGCAGACATGAAATAGAATGATAAAGTAGCAATAAGTTTTACAGACCAAAGGTTTTACAGAATGCAAAGAGCAAGAGCCACTTAGGGCCTTTTTGGCCCTGAGAATTTCTGAAAAATTGAAACTGCTCAATATTGGTGGAAAATGCAGTATTTATAACTTGGACCCTTGGTCACCGTGTATCTATTGAACATGACGTAATTTTCTCTCTGGTTCCTGCATTATGACGTCATAAAATGCGTCATTTTTCCAATATCCTGTAAATTCCCTTAACGACGTTGGATCCTGATATTTAAAGTCTTAAACTTTTTTTTGTCAAGTATATTTTTAGCTTGTACACACATAGCTTAATTAAAAATCAAAACAAAAAATGGGGGTCAATATGCTTCTTTTGGCGCTACAGTACATTTAAAATGACCTTTTTGCACTGACTTTGTGTCTTAATCAAAAATAACATCTTCGACGTTTTCCCTCCAATATTTTTTATCCAAATAAATCATGGGACAAAGTATGCTATTATTCTCTCTTAAAAAAGACACATTAAAATTGTGACAAAGAAAAATTTTCAAATTGCTTCGCATAATCAATTATTTGACCATTCTGCGCTCAAAAAATGTCATTTTTCGGGCATTAAAAATTTAACAAGTAAGAAAATATTTTAAAGTCTTAAACTTTTGCTGAATTTAAGTAGATTGATCAGAGTTATCTTATATATTCAGAAAAGAAAATCAAAAGTGGAGGTCTATGATGTTATTTTTTAAATATTACTAAAAAACTGTTAATTTTGTGATAAAATTGGCTCAATTTTTTCCTGGAGTTTCAGAATATATTTTCTATATTTGTCACAATATGATGATAGAATTCACAAAAACTGATTTATTTAATATTTTAGAACCAGCATTAAACATTTCAATGCACAAAATAGCTCTGTGTGCAACCAGCATGGAAAAATAGGAATCTAAACTTAACAGTACTGTATATATTTCAAAAGGGAAAAAATGATCATTTTCTTCTAAAAAATCTTCCGCCACAAAATATAGTTCCTGGCTTAATCCTTTTTGAATTGAATTTAATCGCGTTTTTTTCATTGGATATAGTATAATTTGCATTGTAGAATCCAGATTTAATGTTAGAACTTAAAAATAATGCAGAATTTTAGAAATAAAGCTCCAGACCAAAATCTGCTCAAAAGCTCAGGATCGAACGTCCTTAAAAATGGCCAAAAGTTGAGGTATTTTTTCAATATTTCATATAGAGCACAACCTCTGATCCAAAATATGCAATCACATAATGAAAGATCTATTTCTAAAGATCACAAAACATGTTTTAATTTTTGGATCGTGGGTTGTGCTCATATTTTAATTCTTTGCTGAAGGTAGTCAAATACGCATGTTTTCTGCAAAATTCAAGAACATTGCATTTTCTCAAAGATTGTTTTCCAATACCTGGATTCTCAAAAAGAAATTTTGTTGTAGGAAATAAAAGCACTAAGTCTCTACTTTATTTTGATATATGAAATAGGACAGAGGGTGATAGCCAATTAATTGATATAAGGACAGGGCCATTTTATGCATAAAGTGAACCTAGCTCTTTGAAACAAAAGGATCAAAATCATACATCTCTGAAAGATTAAGAATAATTAAGGGTCTATTTAGTTATCAAAGTTTTTGTGTTGTTGTAATATTGTTTAAAAAAATATACATCTCTTATAACAGATTTCTTCCCTCTCTGATGCTTAAATTTGAATTTAATACTACAGTTCAAAAAAATAACAAAAACAAAAAACAAATATTAAAAAATTATCACTTTTTAACTTACAGACACTGAAACCTTAATCTAAGGTCATGTAACCAAAGTTGCATGCTGCTTTGCACGCTTCTTTATCCCAGTTGTTTTAGCAGTCTGTGGAACACTTCATAAAGGCCTTGTAGCAATTTCTTTACAAGACTTAGAAGTTGTAGCATGGTAAAGAGAGTTACAATTGGTCTCTAGCTGTAACAAGTATATTATACACAAAAGGCCCGTGTGTGCTCACCTATATCACCTTAACACTGCTGTTCTTCAGCAGATTGTAAATAATCTTCACCTCTATTTTGCCATGAAACATTTGCTCCATATTGTGTCCAAATCCTTATCTCAATTGACATGACTTTAAGGTATTCAATGTATAATGAAGGGATTTTGAACAATTTTGAATCATTTTAAACTAATTAAAAATGCATTGCTAGATAACGATGAAAGTGAAATGAACCAAATTCACATGACGGATAACATATAAGAAACTGGTCATTTTGCACTTTGAAAGTTTTTGAAGAGTTATCTGCCGTTGATGCAAAGAAGAAAATTTTAAATATCAAAATATCTGCGGTAATTGATTAATTTTATTTCATATTTTAATAAAGAGAAAGTGTATGCATATTTTCACCAAGAGCTTTTTATAAAATTCAAATTACTTTTTATAATATCTTAATAACACATGCATTGTCCATAGACTTCAATGTAAAATTCAAGGTGCAATTAATTTGACAATAATCAATTTTTTGTAATTTTCTTTGGTGGAGTATTTTTATTTTATAACACCTTCAAAATGATACCATAATTACAAATATAGGACCGTTCATATATTAGATACAAATTATGGTCGTTATACATTGAATACCTTAACAAACTTGAAAATACACAAGGGTCTTAATATTAGTATGACTGATGCAACCTTCTAAAGAAGATTTATTTTCTAATATATTTTTGTATTTGTTCCACGATTTTAACCCCACCCTTGCCCCAATTTTTATAATCTAAACCACTAAACAAAAAGAATCATGAATAGAGCAATAGCAATATCCTAACAATTGGTAGGCAAAATTGTCAGTGAAAATAAGAGTAGCTTGCCTCGTTTTAAAACATTATCTTAACAAGATCATGTGTCGAATTACCTGGGAGACATAAACTTCATATACAAATATAAATTCATTTTTGAAAAAGAAGAGGAAAGGAATTTGAAATAAAAAACCCAGTTTTGTGGACTTAAAACTAGATTTTTTCTTTGAATAGTGTATTTTTCTAATACTTGATTAAAGTTTTCATTTGGTTGAATGGTATTTAAAAATAATTTCTCCCAATATAACAGAATATTGTCCTTATTCAGTTTAGAAAAATATAACTGCAAGCAACCAAACAATTCCTGGACAACAGCTTCTCGTAAACAAAATGCTGAAAGAAAAAAAAATGCAAAAACACTTAAACTGGGATACTTCAATGATATTACAATGAAAAAAGTAGTTGTAAATTTTACTGATTCATTGTTTCACAAATGCAAAGGACTTTGAATGATATGAATTTATAATCGAATTTATAAAACAACAAAACGTACATTTGTCAACTTCATTTATTTCTCTTATATAAGGATCAAATCACAAAGTCAAGCTATATACAAGAAAAGAGATTCGTATTTGAAAAAAAAAAATTAAAAAAGAGATCAGAGATCAATTCTTTTAAAGTTTTTTAATTTTAGAGAATTTGATTCATTACAGATTCTCAAGAGCTCTCCTAATTAACACTGAATGTTAATTAAAGGATTCTATCCACAAATAATATTCATTTCACAATATTTGTTTGATTGTTAAAGTTGATTACATACTGAAAATAGTGAGTATCCCTCTATAATTCCTCGAATACCTTAATCAGCGTTCAACTACGCAATATCAAAAACTGTATAAATTAGAATCTCTTAACAGGTGCAGTACATATTCAATAAGTGCCCCAGAAACCAGGAGACTGGAATATTTCATACTTGTCGCTGTATTTATCTTTCTCTTGAAAGTCTCTTTTTCTGATGGTGGCTTACAGCAGAAACGTAAATATAAATTTGTTGAATGGTAATTTTCTTTTATTAATATGATTTCCTAAATCTTATTTAAAGTTTTATGCTTATCTGTTAAACATTATAGCCTGCCCTCCTATGTGTAAGCTTAAGTTTGGCTGCGTATATGGATTCGCTCATGACGAGAACGGATGTAAACTTTGTGCATGCAGAACGAAACGTGAGTTTGTAGAATAGTCTTGGTATTGTAAAATTACTATATTAATATAAATATTGTAAAAAATATATGATATTACGTGTCACAATAAAATATCCTTGTGTACAAAACTGATTGATTTTGAATTTTAAAAAATTCTACTGACTTTTATAATGCCATCAAATTATCATAACAAAAATTACATAAATATAGAAAATTGTGGAATTTATGAATCTTGGGGGTAAAGTAGCAAAGGTATTAAGATTTAGCCGATCGCGCAGGATAAAAATAGAAGAAAACAGATGCTGGGCAGGAGTGCAGGATGAACTTTTCACCGCTGATAATTAAGCCCCATGAGGTTTGCTATTTGTTTGTAGATTAAGAACTTGTTTATAAGATGCTGGCTTGGTCAAGAATAAGGGTGTAACCAATCAAAGAGGTTGATGCGAGGGAGCAGAGGTCATGCATCTGTATAAATTATCTACAGTAAATAAAAAGTGAAGATTATGCAAAAAGTTTAACAGGAATTTTAAGGTGCAATTAAATATTAAAAGAGGGTTTAAGGTCGGATAAGATTAACTTAAATTCAGAGCAAAATTAAAAGTCATTAGTGCAAATTTTGAAGAAATACTCAAATATGCAGGGCATTTACGGGGGTATAAATGTAGCGCAGTGAGACATATCCAGCCGGTGGTCTGCTGGATTTTGTCTCTTTCTGGTTGCATTTATACAGGTAAGATATTTTTATAGACTTGCGCGATTTTTGTAAGATGGTTAAAATGTTCAGATGGCTTAATGTATTTACGGGTTAATATATTTTATAATCTGATAGAAATGTTTCGTATTTATTATAATGTTTATTATATTGTGTAGTGTGTAACTTTAGTAATTGTAAATAATTAGAATGTATGTGTTAATTTAATAAACGGTGGTCTGCTGGATTTTGTCTCTTTCTGGTTGCATTTATACAGGTTGGGCAACAGCTAGGGCCACTCCCCAAAACCTGTGATGCGCTATGGACAGGAAGGGAACATATCCTAGGAAGAGTAGATTCAAACTGGAACGTCATTTTGAGAAATAAAGGAATAATAATAATCCAGCTAACTTGGGTCAATCTGACCAAGACCAGGGGATTGTAAGAATTGTTCCCCTGTGTCTAAAAACCTCTCACAGGCAAAAAGCGCACAACGATCCCGGAGTTGAAAATCAATTTATTCAATGACCAGAAAAATTCTAAGACCAAAAACAATATATTCAAAATAAACGAGAATCACCGACAAAAACATATTTTTTTTTTATATGAAAAAATAATACTATTTTTACATTAATATGTATTTTAAAACTTGAACTGGGAAATTAAGCAGTTTTTTTTTTCAATTGAAAAATCTTTTGTTCTCCTCCATTAGTTGTCTTTAACCTTTCAACATCACTTCTCTGCGAGCAACTAGATCTGTTTAACAAAATTTACCCAAAAGACATTTAGATATATGCATAATGGTTAAATTTTATTTTAAAAAACAAAGGACGGCGATCAGTATGCAAGCATTTAGCCCTTACAAAAAATACTATAGTAAGCTATAGTTTACTTAAGTATCAACGTTTCTACAATGGAAAATCAAAGTTTATATTTTGAAAAATCGAAGTAGTTTTATTCTGAACTTCAAATTGTTGTATTTTTTCTCTCCAAGTCTTCTTATGTGCAATTTGTTTTTAATAAAATGAAATATTATTGGGATATTACGTGTTATTTCTGAAGTTTATATCGGCCATCTGCAAAATTATTTTGTTAAAAAACATTCTGATTATACACACAAGAACCCCGAAGTTGATATTAAGATGTTTGAGTTGATGAATGACAATATATTTGACATTTTTAGACATAGAGTCTTCAAACAATCTGTTGGAATTCTCATGTGTACAAATTGCGGAACTTTTTTTCTATTCGAATGAATCAGAATTTGTTCAAATTTTCTACATGAGAAGAGGAAAACACTTGCTGTGGCCTATAAGTCGACATTTAGATATATCGACGATGTTTAATCAATTGAATATTCATTTTCAATCCTACACTGATTCGATGAATCTCTTTTAACTCGAAATAAAAGACACCATAGAATCTGATTCGCCTGTTTCATAACAAAACTTTATGATAAAATGATGACTTCAACTTCCCTCTTTACATGAATGTAGCAATATACTATTATCAACTGCATATGGAGTATATTTCTCTCAGTTGACTCCATACACAAGAGCATGTTTTACGTACGAACAATTTCTAATACAAGGCAAGTTTTTGACAATTAAGTCAATGATATAAGGATATCTACAGTCTCGTTTAAAGTCAATATTACGTAAATTCTATAGTCGATACAAAGGCCTTGTTAGCAAATTCAATCTATTGTTATGTCAAATGTTGATTGAAGTTTTTCATACAAATTGTTTGGTCATTATTTCCACACTGAACTGTCTACGGACTTTTCCTTTTTTCCGATCATGGCAAGGAGCACACGACTGGTGTGGCCGGTCCCAGAAGATAATTACTCCTCAATGACACGTGATCCCACCTCTGATGTTTTTAGGAGTTTGTGTTTGCTCTGCTCCCAATTTGTATTATTCCAATGGACTTTTGAGCTTGATTGCTGTTCTTTATCATCATATTTCATCATTGGTGTGTGATTAAAAAAATAAAGATTTGAAATTATTTTAAAAGACCATGAATCTCAAAAAAAGTCCCAAAGTTTCATTGTAAATCAAAGTATTTACATTAGTTAACTATAACTATAGCTATATACCTAATGTTAGGGAACATTCACAGTTGGAAAAAGATCATTTGATCTTTTTTTTTCAAAGGAGGGTGCTAAGGAGGTGCCCAGTAAAATTTCTACGTGTTTGCTAAAACATTTATGTAGTTAGTAGAATCAAGTTATTGATGCCAGAGCAGGATTGAATATCAAAGTTTTATATTTGAAAAGGTAAGGGACATAGGCTTAACAAATAGTATTTGCTGTTACAGTATTTTTAGATTCAAGTCTGGTCTAACTGTGACAACAGGCTTAGTAATGTTACCAAAGTAGAATACAGAAGTGTAGTACAGCAGTTTTATGCTGTCTTAAAGGGTAATAAATCTAAAACATGTTAGGAATAAATATAATATGGGTTTTTTCTGTAATACATGTAGATGAAAAGTTGATCTAAAAAAAAAAAAAAAAAGAAAGAAAAGACAAATCTTGCAAATCTGTGAACAGGGCATAAAACACGGACCCCTGGAAATTCCAGAAATGGGAGCAGGTGCCATGGGAAATAAGCATCCCCTGTCGACCGATCTCACCCGCCGTGAGCCCTATATACAGAATATATCGTAGTCAACTTAAGAATAAAATCAAAGGCCTAAAAATTGGTATGAAATACGTCAGTTTAAATACAACCCAATTATAGAACCGGATTGTACCGAGAGCATGCTCGTGAGTATCGAATAAGTTTTGAGATATAAATGCCATATGCAGTTGATAGTGGAATATCACTACATAAATAAGGAAAGTTGACGATGAGAAAGCTGATCTTCACGTTTGTCATACAGTTTAGTTATTAGCTCGCCCTTATTGTCTTTAGTCAGTACAACATATGGAACAGATGTGTAGATTCTGTGGTGGTCTCCAATGACGACATAGATGTTGTCAATGAGGAACTCCAGCATCTTTTTAATATCTACTTCAAAGTGCTTGTGTGTAGAATCAGAGTGATTTTAACTACGTAATTTTGTCGATGAGCAATCATCTATAATAACATCTATAATGGTTAGTTTAATTTATCGTAAGGAATGGTTGTAGAAAGTCATACGTTTTGACGTTACTAACTTTTGCAAAATATTGTGATCAAAAATGATAAGTTTTCTAAAAGTTCTTAATAAGTTTTGAAAATCCACATTCAGAATATGCTGTAGCACAGTACGTCTGAAGTTTCTCCTATACAGCAGTTAATACTCTTGTGAATAGTAAAGATTGGGGCTTTGTTGAGCACTTACGCACTTACTGGATTTTTATGAAGTTTAGAAATCCAGTGTAGGTAGGGTAGATCGAACGCACCTTCGTTGACTCGAATTATAAAAGTATGAAACACTGATATGTGATTTTGAAGAATATATGAAATCTTTAGACATTGAACTGTGAGTATAAGTAGATCTCCAGATGTAGAATTTAAATAGGGGTCAAGATTGGGAATCATGTATACATGTAGCTAAATGTCTTTACATTCCAATATAATCCTTATGGCCAATATCTTCAAGAAGGCAATCTAAAGTACTATAGAAACTCTGTTATTACAGCAAAAGATTATGTCACTGAACTGTTCATTAGAGATAAAAGCGTAGTGATCACTTCGTACTTACCTGCCAAAAATACAATTTTTTAGAAATATATCCTTTTGCTTCCATAGCAACGCAGTTATTTTTATAAATTTAAAATACTGCAAGATTGAAGAGATACACCTCATATTAAGTATTTCTTTTAGATGAAGAAATCGAACTTTTTGTTTCCGTGGTTACATTGCCAAAGTTTGTAAAACCTGATAATATTTTCCCAGAATTCGGTTTGACCTTATAAAAATAATAAACACATAAATTCAAGAACAAGAACATGAAAGTAAAATGTTAATATTTCCCTCTGTTTTCATTAATATTTTGATAAAATTAAATGTTAAGTGTACAACTAGACTTGGTAATTATCAATATTTTGAAGTTCCACTAAGATTTTTCTAACAATCCCCAAAAACTTCAGTGGACAAACTTATATGTGGAAGAATATCAATATGTGAATCCCAACCCCTGACTTTGTTGGGGTGACATAAGTTTGAAATAGGAATGAAATCGAAGGTGCAAAATGTAGTAACTCTTCACAAGAAAAACAGAATTCCTCAAACAGTTTCACAGAAAACAATTTTTGTTAACTCTATCCACAGCTTGTCCACCCCGCTGTAAGATGCGATGCGAAGATGGCTACGTACGTGATAAGGAAGGATGTGAATTGTGTATATGCAAGATAAAGCGTAAGTATTTATAAAGTCTGCGTTCATATGTAGTTAAAATGAAGTACATAACTTGATTGAAAAGAGCTTCATCTTTGGGATCATAAAATACTAATGAACTAAGTGCATTTTTACGCTCCCAATGACGTCCCACATTTATCACTCTAATTGCAAGCATATTTTCTTGTAGTGGAATAAAATGGCAACATAGATTGTCAAGAAATACAGATAATTTAATTCGGGAAAGAATTAAATATACTGGAAATCCAACGCTAGTATATTTAACTAATTTTTCAACGACATTTATATAAATGCTAGATAAATGTCACTTTCTGTGATTATTTCAATTAAGATCCGCGTAAGTTGTTTAAACATTAAATATTTAAACAATGTTTGCTTATACGAGAATTAACGGTTGCAACCAACGCAGAAAAAATGCATTACCTGCGTAAGTGGGTTATGTATTTTTTCTGCAAGTATGTAACCGTAAATCCCCAAAAGTTCAAAGCGAAGACATTTTTTGTTTATATCATAAAAATTATTCATGTAAAGTAAATTAGTGTACGCAACATATTTCATTACTGATTCGTATGTTAAATTGATAGAAGAACCCACTTTTTAAAAAAAAATCTTTCATTCAGATGGCTTTAAAACAACCAGATTTACCAACTTTAGGGTTAATCGATTAATTTTTTTGTAAGCATTAAGATGAAATGTTAAGATAACGGTAATCATACAAAAAGTCAAATGAAACAATACAAATTGTGTGGTAGAGGAACATCTAGAAACATATAAGAAGTGGGATCGGGTACCATGTACCCGCCGTGTGCCATTTAGTTATGCTCGGGTAAAAGGAGAAATCCAAAGCCAATTCAGTAAGGAAATAATGGGCTTAACAATTTGAAGATGTCAAATGTAAAAATTGTGAGGGAGGCAAACGGACTTCTAGAAACATAAGAAGTGGGATCGGGTGCCATGGACCCGCCATAGGCTCTTTTGTCATGATGGGGTAATAGGAAAAATCCACAGCCAAATTAGTAAGAAAATAATGGCTTAACAATTTGATGATATCAGAAACATGAGCAGAATGTTTCCATTGATGATTATTCTGTCCATTCTGTGTTTTTTTTAAACTAATGTTCATGTTTTTACAATTTGTTTTACTGTTATATTAAAAAAAAAATTACATGACTTGCATCTCTGCAGAAACACACTAAATATAGATTGACTTTTATTCAGTACTATACATGTATAAAATTATATTTGAACAATCAGTCGAACAGGTAATGATCTGACAATTAATTTTAATATGCAAAATTTACTACTTGAATTGATAAAACACACACTGCCTTCTTTTTTGTAAGGAGATACATGTACAAAAACATATGTCATACTATTTTGATATATTATTTTCCAAAACTGCTAAATATCGATTCATAGATTCTTAAAATGTATACGTTCGTATGTTGACAGCTGAATGTCCACTTGTTTGCACAAAACGTTGTAGAAACGGTCAATATATAGACCCTAACGGATGTCCAACTTGTATTTGCAAGCGGCCAGGGTAATAAAAGTAAGCACGTTTCTAAAGAACATTTCATAAATAGAAAACTTAGTAGATATACATTGCAACATTATTTGGTGACATTCCGTCGTGGTGTGCTAGACAAACTATCACAAATATAAGCATAACACTATATATTGATCAAGCAAAACCAAAAAAAAAGTGTTTCTTATAATACTAGCCCGTTAGCGAGTTTCTCTCTGATTTTACCAACCCTTTTAAACAAATGAAGTTGAATAGGTAAGTTTCAAACTTCTTTTATATATTGTCCAAATATGAGATAACTCAGATTTGAATGCACATCCAGGTATTTAATTACTTTAATTGCTCTTTTGTACAATTATTGTACCCTTATAATTGTACATTTTACATAAAGTTTAGCGTCAAACAGATGTGACATTGTACCGCTCATTTGAATACGTACACTGCGAAAGGAATTGATTGAATACATTTCAGTGGTTTAACACCTTGTGTATAACAAAAAGTCTCTTGGTTTTCTTAATTTCATCGCGTAGACTTATTAGATATATAATAAGTACATAATCATAAGATATAACAAAATTATGACGTTAACTTTGAGCTTCAGCTCATAATAATATGGATTGAAAGGTTTTTTTTCTTTGTCTGAAATAGGAATTACTAGTAATTATTATGTCGATTGAAGTCGGTTACTGTAAATTTAACATGATACTTATTAGAGATGATTTTTTAAATCCTTTTCATGCTTGACGCATATACCTTTCAATTTCAGATAACAATCGGAGCATCCATATTGATGGGAAGCAGTTTTGATTTAAGAGACATCATTATTATAATTAACAAATGCCATTGCTTTGTTTGCTCCTTATAATTTAGATAAAATATCTTCAAAATGAAATAAATTCGCATGATTATATTATATATATGTACATGATTTTTTTGTTTGGTTTTTTTTTTTTTTTTTTTTTTTTGTCTCTCACATTTGACTTATTCACAACTTCATAGTTAGTCGTCGAAGATAATAAATCTTTCATGGTTACATTCTTTCATTATATTCTGAAAATAGTCATTAGACCACAAAATTTGGATTTCAAAATTTCAACTCATTAAGACATTATATTTAGACATTTGATGCATATTTGAAATATGCATACGACAATTAGATGTATGCAAATTTCTTCACTGTGAATTAGGATTATATAAGTCTCAGTGAAAAAAAAAGAGTTACAAAGATTAACTGTATATTGTCAGGAGTGGAAGTATTTTTCCCGCAGCAAATATCAAAGCATATAGGAATTAAATAATCGCCACCTACGAATTCATGGTCCAATGGAAGTCGCCATAATCTGCAATAATATTCGGGGATTTTCTTGTTTCCCTCTACAAACAGGAAAAAATTAAAAGAGAGAGAACCCGTGAATATTGTGTTCACAAATTAGTTTATCTACATACATTTTAATACCTACACACATTCACCATCAATATTAAACAGGTGTTACAATAAAGTTTTAAATTCAGAGAATTCAAAACTAAACTTACTATAAAAATCTCATAGTGTGTTTTAATTCTCTATAACTGTAAAACTTCAGAGTAAGATATTGGGTTATTCTGGACACCATATTATCATTAAATTCGAGATTTCACTTAGAAAGACAGTTACAGACTAATATTAAAAAGAGTTCAATTTATTCTATGTTGCAAATAGTGGGGGGGGGGGGGGGGGGCGTGTTCCATATCTAATCTAAATGTTAAATCCACATAACAATTTGTTACGGACCTTTAACTACGTATTATTCGAAAATATCTCTATGCAAAAATATGTTTTTGACAACGAGGCAATTTTTCAACTTTGTGACGTTTTTCCCGTCATGATATGTCGTGCAAAAGACTCAGTCACATGTGGTTTTGACATGTTGTTATTTTTCCTGTGATAAGAATTAATGGATGTTATTGTTCATAAAAGAGAGTGCCCATATACTACAAAGTAAATTATATGTCGAGAATATTAAAAAATAGATAAAATTACATAATTCCTCATATCATTTGTTAAGAATTCCTGCAAAATGTGCATGAAATTAGCTCACATTTACAAATGCATTTTAAGTTAAAAAGGATTTTAAGTAAAAGATCTTTGTACAATACTAAGAAGTAAATGTTTCTCTTTCGAACTAATATTGAAAGTATTGCCAATTTAAAGATAGTTTCATTTACTATAAAATAAGGTCGACAAATTATTGCTGTTTTATAATTAAGTATTTATGATTATATATCATAATTTTTAAAAGCAATGATATCGATTTGAATTATGTTTAAATTGTCCTACAGTCACCTGTCAAAAGTCACTGTCCAACAAATTTATCACCAACTCACCAAATTTATATCTGATACGTAATTTGGGATTGTGTCCGAATAACAAACATTTATCAAAATAGAGGCCCAAGGGAAAAAAAAATAATCGTACCTATAAAGTGGTGGGGGATGGTTGATACTGTGTCAGAAAAACTATTTCATTAAAGAATGAAGCATCTGAAACTTTTCTCAATTTTCCTAATTTTCGGACTTTTGTACGTGACTTGTTCTGAGGGACGTGTAATAAGATTTCCTGGGGGTAAGTGTCTTTCAAAATACTTTACTTAATTAAGGATTTTTGAAATATTCGATTCTTTTATCTATTTGACCCAGAATCTACATCTGACCCTTTCTACTCTAATCATTTATGTTTTGAAAAATGAACACGCTGAGACAAATAGCAAAAGGGAAAAAAAAATAATTATCAATAATATACTTTTGACCACCCACAAAATATGTACAGGTTTTCATTAAAACAAAAATTTCGCTTTGCATGTATAACATTATCCTATGAATTGTGTGAAATTCATGAGAAATTGCATACAATTTTTATGCCCCCATAATCGAAGATTCGTGGGCATATAGTTTTTGCCCTGTCCGTCCGTCTGTCTGTCTGTTCGTCCGTAAAATTTTAACCTTGCCCTTAACTTTCAATTGGTAAGAGCTATAGCTTTCATATTGCACATGACAAAACTTTTCATATAATACCAACATATCTGACCTTTTGACCTTGGAGTTTGACCCATTTTTCAAAATTTTACCAAACTCTAACCTTGACCAGAACTATTGAACAGTTGGCGCTAGGGCTTTTCTACTTCACATGTGTATATTCATTGTGAAAAGACCTTTCCTTTGTATAAATATTTTTGACCTTGGAGTTTGACTTACTTTTTAAAATCTTTAACCTTGGCCATAACTGTTGAATGGACGATGCTAGTTCTTTCATATTTCACATGCGTATTTCTTGTGACAAGACGTTCCCCTTGGGCACCATTAATGTTTTTTTCCCATCTGAACTTGACTTTGACGTTTGACTTACTTTTTTCGAAAACTTTAACCTTGGCCATAACATTTGAACGGTTGATGCTAGGGTCTTCATATTTCAAAGTTATATTAAGGCCTTGAGACAAGACTTTTCTTTGGGTATCAACTTTTTGATCTCTTGATCTTGACGTTAGAGTTTGACTTGCATTTGAGAAACTTTACCTTAAAGCTGCCATGCGGGGTCATCAGTATTTCACTAACAAATCTTGTTTATAATGATGTAAACAATTGTAATCGTGCGAGGAATTTCGAAAATAAAATCATACATTGCTCTGTATTAACTGAAAAGGATATACGTACTTCACTTTTGAAAATGTTTGCTATCGTCACTACAGATAATACACTTTTGTTAACATTTGCCATACAGCTTATATACTTTACTTTTTTATAACGTTTGACATCATCCCTTCAGAATATATACTTCCCTTTTGACATTGTTTGTTATCATCTTACAGATGATATACTTCACTTTTGGCAATGTTTGCCACGTCCCTACAGATTATATACTTTTGTTTATGTTTGATATTATTCATAAAGATTATATACAGTGTACTTTACTTTTGATAACCTACAGGTTGTCCACCAGTATGTGCGAATTATTGTCCGTTCGGCAGAGTGTACATCAATGGATGTCCCACTTGTACATGCAAAGGACGTAAGTTTATTTACATTGCTGACTAATGTGACCAAAACCTAACAGAGTTTTAAAACTTCATAGGTGATCAAATGTGGGGATTTTATTAACTTTACAAACAAACACGATTTTTTTTAGTATTCCTTGGTTTTTCACTCTCCTCTCTAATATACCTCATTTTTGACTCAACCATTAAAAACAGACTTTTGTTGTGTTTTTTTTAAGAAAGACTGATTCAAATAAGATACTGTAATAATATAAATTAATTAGAAATTGAATGTAGTGAATTATTTTCAACATTGTGATTTCTTTTTCTTTTTATTCCAGCTGGAGATGGTGATCCGCTAGACTGGATACGATAGAACTTTGTATTTACAGCAATTAAAGAATAACTTGTTCCTCATCATCTGTTATTTTAAAGAAATAATACATCAAAGTTTGTAAAGATTACAAAGGCATTAATTACCACTAATTATAAAAACAGGAGGCACAAATCCTAAACACTCACTTGATCCACAATACTAAAACCTCTCTCTCTCTCTCTCTCTCTCTCTCTCTCTCTCTGAGACAAGTCTATATTTAATGAAACCGGAAATATTCTTGTTGCCCCAGACCACCTGTAACATAGATGTAAAGGGCATATAGACTAAAAAATGAAATCCACATATTAGATTGACAAACAGGTTTAAAAAAAACTTCTTAACCTAACATGCTTTGATGAGCAGGTTAAATGCATATTTTGAAAGTAATGTTATACTTAGCAACAAAGACGCAAACAAAATATATCAGTTTCTGCGAATTCCTTTTTAGAGATTTTGTTTAATATTTTACTAAGTAGTGTTTACTTCTGCTTTTGCACCAAGAGACGCCTTGGTACAACTAGGCATGTTCTGAGTTAAATTTCAGAGAACATTTAGCAATTGAATACAATGACCATTACAGTGCCTTCCGTATCGTTTTTAGTAGTTGGCATATTGAAAAAATGATCTTCTTGATTCGTCTTCAAATGTTTTTAATTTAATTTTATTTAGATCAGAACTGAAACATAAAATTGTTAAAATCGTTCAAAAGAATTTTATGATCAGCTTTATACTGTTTGATATTTTCATCTTTCATCTCAAGAAGATATACAGAAAGATGTTATTATCATGACCGTGTGATTGCTACAATGTAGGTAGATTCCAGAAAATGATCTGTATTTCAACAGTACGCACTGTACCATAATTAAAAACAAAAGTCAGTTTCTCAAACATAAAACAGTTTCTACACTTCCTAGGCCAGGAAAAAGTCCTTATTTAAACCAGTGTGAAACATTGGGGATCGAGTTCAGAAGACCTTTGCTCAGAATATGTCATCGACTAAATAAAGATATGTAAAAGGCATTCCAGTGGTAATGGTTCTCAATTCTAAAAAAAGGTCTCTGAAAACTTCACTCAGAACATGCATAGTCGCATTAAGGTTGTTATTCGTGCCAAAAAGGGGAACAACTAAGTACTACAAAACAAAATATCAATCGTAAATAATTATGAAAATAGATATGAAACAATTTTTATTATGCAAAAAATTATCGTATCTTTGCTTGTGTTTTTGATTACAAGCAATTCAATTCTTAAAATGTGTGCATTTTGAATTGTAAACTGCATTCTAGAAGGCAGTTCACTTGAATTGTGAAAAGTAAACTGCAAACTACATTCCAAAATCTGACTGCCCTCTGCAAGTTGTATCTTGGTAAACAACAAAATCATAATGGCCTGATTTAAAAAGCATAGAACACAATTCACTAGTTTAAAAACCAAATTATATAACGACCTGTTTAAGAATACATGTGAACGATTTCGTTCTTTGTAATTATAGAACTTTTTTGTCATTGGTTCAAGAAAATGGTATTTTTCAATGTAAATGTCATTTCAATACGGTGCTTGATTTGAAGATCATATTATTGTTTTCAAAGAACTCTTAGGATTGGATACAAGATTTAGAATCTTACATTTTACAGATATTCCTATAGCAGGAAATACTTCAACATTAAAAAAAATAAATGAAAGTTAATAGTACCAAAGGAACATGTACTTTTTTATACACTACATACTGTAATTACTGTTTAATCATACATGTGGCATGCATAGATATACTTAAAGACCTTACGAGAAATATTCCATGGGACATAAATGCCCCGGCCAAGATACGTGTATTTTAATGTTCAACATTAAAAAAAAATAATCAAAATCTTTTATCTTTGGTCTGAGCTAATAGTAAGGAAATATGAGGGTAACGTACAGTAACCATGCTAAAAAAAATCCAGTGAAATAATACAAATTGTGAGCAGCTAGAGCAAAAACGGACCTATGAAGACATCAGAGGTAGGATCAGGTGCTATGGAGGAGTAAGCATCCCCTGTCGATCTGTCTCATCTGCAGTGTGCCCTTTGTCTTGATCGGGTAAACAAAGTAATCCGTTGTCATTTCGGTATGAAAAAATGGCCTAACAATTTGTACGAAAGACATCAGTCAACATTCGAAAAAACGACAGATTGTATTTGGAAACAATGTCATTGAAACTACCATAGAATTTGCAAAATGTTCACTTTAAACCAAATTGTATATATCCTTGTATCTTCAACTTATTTGTCTATGGTCCGTTTCATTTTAAAAAATTGTTCGTACGAAGTAAGATCTCATGTGTATCGAATCAATTGGGAGACATAAACCCCATATGCAGGTGATAATGGTATATTGCTAAACAAATAAGAGAAGCTGACGATGAAAAAGTTGAAGATATCACATTTGTCTGTGGTCCGCTTCATTTTAGAAATTGTTCGTAAGAAGTAATATTTCATGTGTATCGAATCAATTGGGAGGCATAAACCCCAAATGCAGGTGATAATGGTATATTGCTACACAAATACGAGAAGCTGACGATGAAAAGGTTGAAGAGATCACATTTATCATTAAGTGTAGTCGTTAATTTGCAATCAGTGTCTTTCTCTAATAAAATATCCAAATGTGAAGCAGATATATCAGACTCCGCGGTGTCCAATGGTCGTGTGGCTATTGTAAAGAAGATTGTTAAAGATACCCATCCTTTTCACATGTATGCTTTTTCTTGAATATCCCTCCTTAAAAGAAGGCAAGACCTTCAATTTGATCAAATATGAATTCCCTTTACTCAAGGATACTTTGGAGGCCAAGTTTATTTTAGATTGGCTTAGAGGTTCTTGAATAGAAGATGAAAATGAATAGTTTTAAACAACGCCAAGAGACAACATAAATGTATAATGTTTGATCAGAAAAGCTCACTTGAGCCTTTGACTTTCGTTCATAATAGATTTACATCTCTAAAAATGATATTAAATAAATCTTTATCAAATATAGAGTAACACATGCATGGAAAAATTAAATCTGAATGATATCGTTTTTAATTACCAGTACCATATAAATAGAATAGGCAAGAATTTATATTGCAACTATTGCATTGTTAAACATATCTAAACGTAAATTTTGTACAGTCAGAGCAAGGTTTTTTTTTTTAATTTTTTAAGTTTTCAATTTATTGTTTAAAGTTACATCTGTCTATTACAATACAGGCTTTTTTGTAAACCTTCGCCTAACAGTGCGTATTGAAATCCGAAAGCATTTTGAAAAAAGACTAATTCTAACATATTGCTTTAGTAAGATATATTTTTAATACTCAACTTTTTTAAGAATATAAAATAATCATACCGTTTATAAATTCGACATTTATTTTTTCAAGTGATTTGCAATGCTAAATTGGAAATAATTTTTTTCACATGATTACTCTTATATAGACATATACCTACTTTGCCAATTAATATTGAATATGCCTAGGATTAAAATTTTTGAAGCAACAGAAAAAAAGGAAACTATTTCTGAACTGAATCCCTCACAAGACTACATGTACATTAGTCTCGACATTTTTTTAGATATACTGATCATGTACAACTAAACACGTCATCTCTTCAACATCTGATGAACATGCTTAGACCAACATCGCGTCTTCCGTGTGAAAAGACGGCTTGCAGTGAGCATGCAAAACATGATCCCTCTTTTTGTATTTTCTGATTATGCTCGATTTGTTAGCATGCTTTGAACATGCACAAACATTGTGGCACTTTGACATTTTGCTTGGCATGCTAAAAGTGACCGACATACAATGAACTTGCGCAATCTGTCAGCTCTTTTTTCAAGCTCTAGTTAATGTTGCCTTTTGGAGCCTGTGCAAACAAGGCTGCATTTCCTGGGCATGCAAGCGATGGGCATGTAATTAAATGCAGCATGCACCAACATAGTAGTTCTTTTTCATTTTTGGCATTGAATTGGCAGTGACATAATGTTTTAAGCATGCACAATCATGGCTGATTTCCGTATTTTCTGGGCATGTGCAAAGTGACGTGATCTGTTGCATGGGCAAACAATAGGATGCCTCCGCATTTTCCGAGCATGGGCCAGGACACCCACTGAGCATTTTGAGACGCTTCTGTATTTTATTGGCATGCGAGCTCGAGGAGCGATGGAAAGTAGAGCATACGCATTTGAATTTTCTGGTAATATTTTTGGTAACATTTTTACTAAAATGTGTTGTTGCAAAAAGGGACTGTGGCAATGCACTTTGAAAAAATTACGCACTTTGAAAAAAATTTCAAAGTGCGTTAAAATTGGCACAAAATCAACGCACTTTGAAAACATTTTTCAAAGTGCATTAAATTTGGGACAAAATCAACTCACTTTGAAAATGTTTTTCAAAGTGCATTAAGAGTGTACATCAGCATTTTTCACAATGGAGACACTTAACGCAATTTGAAAAAAATACGTATAAAACAAAAATTCTGGACTTAAATTTTAGTACTGGACAGCATTAATTTGCTATATTTCTTCCACAAAACTGATGATTTGATCTACCCTCATCGAAAACGAGGAGAAGACGGTAGAAAGTCCCTCAGCCCAACTCTCTATCTTTTCTACACAAATATATGTATTTACATAACTGGTATGACATTGATATTATTTCTCTCAATAAATTTGAGTTAACGTAAAATAGATGAAAAAATTAAGATAAGCTTTCCTGAAAAAAAAATTATGCACCCTATTATATTAAAGAAGAGAGCCGCATAACCTTTATTCAGAATGTATCCACAATGATTCCTCAGAAAAAAAGGCATTTACATGGTAATTGAAACATGCTATTTGACATGTTTAGCGTTTTTATGATATCAAATTATAGACTTAGAAGTAATCTGACTGCATACCTTTTTTGAAAAAAAAAGTTATTAGTGAACTAGGTAAAAATTTCAGTCCAGTGAGTCGAGTGAGTAATGTGGCTAAGGTTTATTTTCTTACTATCAAATAAATGAGTCAACCATTGTTTCATATATGTTCACAATAGATAGAT